GTTGTGATGTGAAGGGGAACATGTTGTGATGTGAAGGGGAACATGTTGTGATGTGAAGGGGAACATGTTGTGATGTGAAGGGGAACATGTTGTGATGTGAAGGGGAACATGTTGTGATGTGAAGGGGAACATGTTGTGATGTGAAGGGGAACATGTTGTGATGTGAAGGGGAACATGTTGTGATGTGAAGGGGAACATGTTGTGATGTGAAGGGGAACATGTTGTGATGTGAAGGGGAACATGTTGTGATGTGAAGGGGAACATGTTGTGATGTGAAGGGGAACATGTTGTGATGTGAAGGGGAACATGTTGTGATGTGAAGGGGAACATGTTGTGATGTGAAGGGGAACATGTTGTGATGTGAAGGGGAACATGTTGTGATGTGAAGGGGAACATGTTGTGATGTGAAGGGGAACATGTTGTGATGTGAAGGGGAACATGTTGTGATGTGAAGGGGAACATGTTGTGATGTGAAGGGGAACATGTTGTGATGTGAAGGGGAACATGTTGTGATGTGAAGGGGAACATGTTGTGATGTGAAGGGGAACATGTTGTGATGTGAAGGGGAACATGTTGTGATGTGAAGGGGAACATGTTGTGATGTGAAGGGGAACATGTTGTGATGTGAAGGGGAACATGTTGTGATGTGAAGGGGAACATGTTGTGATGTGAAGGGGAACATGTTGTGATGTGAAGGGGAACATGTTGTGATGTGAAGGGGAACATGTTGTGATGTGAAGGGGAACATGTTGTGATGTGAAGGGGAACATGTTGTGATGTGAAGGGGAACATGTTGTGATGTGAAGGGGAACATGTTGTGATGTGAAGGGGAACATGTTGTGATGTGAAGGGGAACATGTTGTGATGTGAAGGGGAACATGTTGTGATGTGAAGGGGAACATGTTGTGATGTGAAGGGGAACATGTTGTGATGTGAAGGGGAACATGTTGTGATGTGAAGGGGAACATGTTGTGATGTGAAGGGGAACATGTTGTGATGTGAAGGGGAACATGTTGTGATGTGAAGGGGAACATGTTGTGATGTGAAGGGGAACATGTTGTGATGTGAAGGGGAACATGTTGTGATGTGAAGGGGAACATGTTGTGATGTGAAGGGGAACATGTTGTGATGTGAAGGGGAACATGTTGTGATGTGAAGGGGAACATGTTGTGATGTGAAGGGGAACATGTTGTGATGTGAAGGGGAACATGTTGTGATGTGAAGGGGAACATGTTGTGATGTGAAGGGGAACATGTTGTGATGTGAAGGGGAACATGTTGTGATGTGAAGGGGAACATGTTGTGATGTGAAGGGGAACATGTTGTGATGTGAAGGGGAACATGTTGTGATGTGAAGGGGAACATGTTGTGATGTGAAGGGGAACATGTTGTGATGTGAAGGGGAACATGTTGTGATGTGAAGGGGAACATGTTGTGATGTGAAGGGGAACATGTTGTGATGTGAAGGGGAACATGTTGTGATGTGAAGGGGAACATGTTGTGATGTGAAGGGGAACATGTTGTGATGTGAAGGGGAACATGTTGTGATGTGAAGGGGAACATGTTGTGATGTGAAGGGGAACATGTTGTGATGTGAAGGGGAACATGTTGTGATGTGAAGGGGAACATGTTGTGATGTGAAGGGGAACATGTTGTGATGTGAAGGGGAACATGTTGTGATGTGAAGGGGAACATGTTGTGATGTGAAGGGGAACATGTTGTGATGTGAAGGGGAACATGTTGTGATGTGAAGGGGAACATGTTGTGATGTGAAGGGGAACATGTTGTGATGTGAAGGGGAACATGTTGTGATGTGAAGGGGAACATGTTGTGATGTGAAGGGGAACATGTTGTGATGTGAAGGGGAACATGTTGTGATGTGAAGGGGAACATGTTGTGATGTGAAGGGGAACATGTTGTGATGTGAAGGGGAACATGTTGTGATGTGAAGGGGAACATGTTGTGATGTGAAGGGGAACATGTTGTGATGTGAAGGGGAACATGTTGTGATGTGAAGGGGAACATGTTGTGATGTGAAGGGGAACATGTTGTGATGTGAAGGGGAACATGTTGTGATGTGAAGGGGAACATGTTGTGATGTGAAGGGGAACATGTTGTGATGTGAAGGGGAACATGTTGTGATGTGAAGGGGAACATGTTGTGATGTGAAGGGGAACATGTTGTGATGTGAAGGGGAACATGTTGTGATGTGAAGGGGAACATGTTGTGATGTGAAGGGGAACATGTTGTGATGTGAAGGGGAACATGTTGTGATGTGAAGGGGAACATGTTGTGATGTGAAGGGGAACATGTTGTGATGTGAAGGGGAACATGTTGTGATGTGAAGGGGAACATGTTGTGATGTGAAGGGGAACATGTTGTGATGTGAAGGGGAACATGTTGTGATGTGAAGGGGAACATGTTGTGATGTGAAGGGGAACATGTTGTGATGTGAAGGGGAACATGTTGTGATGTGAAGGGGAACATGTTGTGATGTGAAGGGGAACATGTTGTGATGTGAAGGGGAACATGTTGTGATGTGAAGGGGAACATGTTGTGATGTGAAGGGGAACATGTTGTGATGTGAAGGGGAACATGTTGTGATGTGAAGGGGAACATGTTGTGATGTGAAGGGGAACATGTTGTGATGTGAAGGGGAACATGTTGTGATGTGAAGGGGAACATGTTGTGATGTGAAGGGGAACATGTTGTGATGTGAAGGGGAACATGTTGTGATGTGAAGGGGAACATGTTGTGATGTGAAGGGGAACATGTTGTGATGTGAAGGGGAACATGTTGTGATGTGAAGGGGAACATGTTGTGATGTGAAGGGGAACATGTTGTGATGTGAAGGGGAACATGTTGTGATGTGAAGGGGAACATGTTGTGATGTGAAGGGGAACATGTTGTGATGTGAAGGGGAACATGTTGTGATGTGAAGGGGAACATGTTGTGATGTGAAGGGGAACATGTTGTGATGTGAAGGGGAACATGTTGTGATGTGAAGGGGAACATGTTGTGATGTGAAGGGGAACATGTTGTGATGTGAAGGGGAACATGTTGTGATGTGAAGGGGAACATGTTGTGATGTGAAGGGGAACATGTTGTGATGTGAAGGGGAACATGTTGTGATGTGAAGGGGAACATGTTGTGATGTGAAGGGGAACATGTTGTGATGTGAAGGGGAACATGTTGTGATGTGAAGGGGAACATGTTGTGATGTGAAGGGGAACATGTTGTGATGTGAAGGGGAACATGTTGTGATGTGAAGGGGAACATGTTGTGATGTGAAGGGGAACATGTTGTGATGTGAAGGGGAACATGTTGTGATGTGAAGGGGAACATGTTGTGATGTGAAGGGGAACATGTTGTGATGTGAAGGGGAACATGTTGTGATGTGAAGGGGAACATGTTGTGATGTGAAGGGGAACATGTTGTGATGTGAAGGGGAACATGTTGTGATGTGAAGGGGAACATGTTGTGATGTGAAGGGGAACATGTTGTGATGTGAAGGGGAACATGTTGTGATGTGAAGGGGAACATGTTGTGATGTGAAGGGGAACATGTTGTGATGTGAAGGGGAACATGTTGTGATGTGAAGGGGAACATGTTGTGATGTGAAGGGGAACATGTTGTGATGTGAAGGGGAACATGTTGTGATGTGAAGGGGAACATGTTGTGATGTGAAGGGGAACATGTTGTGATGTGAAGGGGAACATGTTGTGATGTGAAGGGGAACATGTTGTGATGTGAAGGGGAACATGTTGTGATGTGAAGGGGAACATGTTGTGATGTGAAGGGGAACATGTTGTGATGTGAAGGGGAACATGTTGTGATGTGAAGGGGAACATGTTGTGATGTGAAGGGGAACATGTTGTTCCCTCGGCTTCTGTTGAGGTGATGGCCCTCCTCACCTCACAACAGAAGCCGTTTCACTCGACATACAGCGCTCTAACCCAAACAGTTGAAATGCCAAGATTAGATGCTGTCTTACAGTGGAACAGGTGCTGTGCGAGAGTGCAGTTGGGCATGAAATCAGAGACCAGCAGCCGGTGCTCGCCCTCACAGCAGAAACCAACTCACAATCGACATACAAGACTAGCCTTGGCATGAAGTTGGCATCATCTTACAGTGGAACAGGTGCTGCGCGAGAGTGCAGTTGGGCATGAAATCAGAGACCAGCAGCCGGTGCTCGCCCTCACAGCAGAAACCAACTCACAATCGACATACAAGACTAGCCTTGGCATGAAGTTGGCATCATCGTACAGTGGAACAGGTGCTGCGCGAGAGTGCAGTTGGGCATGAAATCAGAGACCAGCAGCCGGTGCTCGCCCTCACAGCAGAAACCAACTCACAATCGACATACAAGACTAGCCTTGGCATGAAGTTGGCATCATCTTACAGTGGAACAGGTGCTGCGCGAGAGTGCAGTTGGGCATGAAATCAGAGACCAGCAGCCGGTGCTCGCCCTCACAGCAGAAACCAACTCACAATCGACATACAAGACTAGCCTTGGCATGAAGTTGGCATCATCGTACAGTGGAACAGGTGCTGCGCGAGAGTGCAGTTGGGCATGAAATCAGAGACCAGCAGCCGGTGCTCGCCCTCACAGCAGAAACCAACTCACAATCGACATACAAGACTAGCCTTGGCATGAAGTTGGCATCATCTTACAGTGGAACAGGTGCTGCGCGAGAGTGCAGTTGGGCATGAAATCAGAGACCAGCAGCCGGTGCTCGCCCTCACAGAAGAATCCTAGCAGCTCGGTCTGGCAGCAGCGGCTGACAACACTCACACCAGAGACGACACTCACACTGAAGACAACAGAGCACAGTTAGGCAGCGCACAGCCCCTCTTACAGTGGAATAAGTGTTGCGCGAGGGTGCAGTTGGGCATGAAGTCAGACACGAGCAGCCGGTGCTCGCCCTCACAGCAGAAACCCACCAGCTTGCCAAAAAAGCAGCAGAAACCAATCCACTCTCATCATAGGCTGATGTGCTGTTACAGGGCCTTACAGTGGAACAGGTGTTGCGCGAGCGTGCAGTTGGGCATGAAGTCAGAGACCAGCAGCCGGTGCTCGCCCTCACAGCAGAAGCCCAGCAGCGATGTGAGCCCCGGGTAGCGAATGCTGCCCACTGCTGTGGCGTCTGCCTGTTGGGTGTGTGTGTCGGAGGGAGGGGAGGGCAAGTATGATGGGAAGATGTTGGGATGAGGGGAAAGCAGAGGCCCAGCAGCAATGTGAGCCCCGGGTAGCGAATGCTGCCCACTGCCGTGGCGTCTGCCTGTTGGGTGTGCGGTCGGGTTGGGTTCCAATGGGTTAAAGGACAACAGGAGACCAGGTAAATTTGAGGGCAAGGAAGGCAGAAGCCCAGCAGCGATGTGAGCCCCGGGTAGCGAATGCTGCCCACTGCCGTGGCGTCTGCCTGTTGGGTGTGCGGTGGAGTGGAGGGAAGACAGAAGAGAAGGCGTCTTGTGTATGTGGAGGGTGCAGGGACGAAGGGATCTCAACAAGAGAGGAAGGCAGAAACCCAGCAGCGATGTGAGGCTCGGGTAGCGAGTGCTGCCCACTGCCGTGGCGTCTGCCTGTTGCGTGGTAGGAGCAGGGAAGTGGGAAGAGGAAAACATGTAATGTGGTTGCGAAAGGGATATGCTGGTGCATTGCAGCAAAACCCGCCGCCAGCGCAATTTGGTGGAGTTTAAAGTGAGAGGTCACACTCACAACTCAGAATGCCTCGTGAGAGGTCACACTCACAACTCAGAATGCCTCGTGAGAGGTCACACTCACAACTCAGAATGCCTCGTGAGAGGTCACACTCACAACTCAGAATGCCTCTTGAGTTGGCTTCGTTTATAGTCTGCTAGAAAATCGTCACAGGTCACACTCACTACTCACAATGACTCTTGAGCCAACGGAAAAGTGCAAGACAGTTACAAAGTACCATTCACTTCACTGTGACTTGTGGCAGAAATCAAAAGACCCTGTCCTTCCTCTGCCTCTCATTTTCAAAAAACCACATAAGCCACTCACAGCGAACTGCTGAGCGTCCTCCCACTCCTTCTTCTGAAACCGCTTCACTGCCACTTGCAGCCCCTCTGGTCCCAGCACCCCCCGGTACACCACGTTCAGTGCCTGCCTCCCGCCCTCTGATACCACGTTCTTCTCACTGGGGGGGAAAGGAAGGGGAAGGGCAAGGGGCAATGTGGGGTGAGTTGGTGGGGGAAGAAGTCAGGAGGAGGGACTGTCAGGCCATGCAGCCCCTTCTTCCGCAGCACCCCTCGGTACACCACGTTCAGTGCCTGCCTCCCGCCCTCTGATACCACTTTCTTCTCACTGGGGGGGTGGGCGGGGAGGAACAAGAGGCAGGCAAGGTGGGGGTTGAGATGGTGGGGGAAAAAGTGAGGAGGGAAGGAGTGTCAGGCCGTACAGCCCGCTCTGCCCCCAGCACACCTCGGTACACCACGTTCAGCGCCTGCCTCCCTCCCTCCGATACCACGTTCTTCTCACTGGGGGGAGTAAGGAAAGGGGGGAAGGAGCACAAGAGCAGCGCCATGAGAAGCCCCGTCCAGACCAAAACGAACTCCTGTGTCCCCAGCAGCACCCCCCAGTACACCACGTTCAGTGCCTGCCTGCCGCCCTCTGATACCACGTTCTTGTCACTGGGGGGGAGAAAGAAGGGGGGGAGAAAATGAGGGAGTTTTGTGAGGCGCCCCATGGCACAGCACTGTAATTTTTCAATATTTGAATATTTCAGAAATCTATTTAATGTTGATTTTTTTCACACACAGAGCACAACCCCTCTGGATGCAAAACCCCCCCACACACCACCCCCCCCTACCCGGTACACAACGTTCAGTGCCTGCATCCCGCCCTCTGGTACCACGTTCTTCTCACTGGGATAAATAAGGAAGGGAGGGAAGGATTGATGGGGGAAGGAGGCTGGGGAGAGATGGTGGGAGGGCAAGAGGGAGTGTCACAAAATTGGAGCCCCTCTTCTCCCAGCACTACTCGGTACATCATGTTCAGTGCCTGCCTCCCGCCCTCTGATACCACGTTCTTCTCACTGGTAGGGGTAAGGAAGGGAAGCAGGGCAAATTGGGGTGAGATGGAAAACAGCGAGGAGGGAGAGAGTGTCATTCGTTACCATCAGCTCCTCCAGTGCCATTCGCCTGTCAGGCACTGCAGCAACCTTATAACGCGTACACAGTGCAGCCTGATGCAATAATACTCAATAAATATAACATTGTGCCAACAGCTCCTCCAGTGCCATTCGCCTGTGAGGCACTGCAGCAACCCTGTAACGCGTACAGAGTGCAGCACGATGCAAAACACAACTAACCTGAATTTGTTGGTAGCTGCCATCAGCTCCTCCGGTGCCATTCGCCTGTGAAGCACTGCAGCAACTGTATAAGGCGTACAGACTGCAGCCTGATACAATACTCAACTCACCTAAAATTGTTGGTAGCTGCCATTAGCTCTTCCAGTGCCATTCGTCGAAACCCAGGCCCCGCTGCTGCCTTGCCACTGCCGTTACCACCGCCGTTGTCGTTGCCGCTGACAGTGCCACCACCACTGGACCTATTGTAGTTGTTAGCTGCTGCTGCTGACGATTCTGTTGCTGGATTTTGCTGGGGCCGTGTCTGTGACTCTAGCTGTGGTTGTGGTTGTGATGCTGCTGCTGCTGCTGCTGCTGCTGGTCCTGCTGCGCATAGGGATGGGGGGACAGATTAGTAAGGGCAAAGCATGGGTTTGAAAGGATCAACGAGCTTCTTAGGAAAACAAACAAAAAAGAAATAAGAATGGGAAGTAAGAATGGCATGGGGGTTGACGAAGTAGCAGGGGAAGTGCAGTGCGGGAAATGGTAGGGGGGAAAGGGGGAAGAGAGGGAAGGGGGGAAGGCACAGGGTGGGCAAGGGGGATGGTGAGGGAGAATTAGGGTGGGCAAGGGGGAGTTGTGGGGGAAATGAAGTGCAGGGGGAGAAGCAGTGCGTGAGAATGGTGGGAAGCGGGGAGACGTAATCATTACAAAAAAGGAGAAAAAAGTGGCTTGTATTCATTGGGATTTTCTGAGAGAGCTTACAGGAGGTGTGCTATTTTTCTTCGTTCTCATACAATCAGGTTTACCTGGTATTCCGTTACTTTCCACGCCCCTGCCTTCATCTGCAACTGCTGCGCCCTGCTGCTGCTCGGACGGCTGGGCTTTCCCAGGCCCTTGATCCGTACACGCTGCACCATCGGACGGTTGTCTTTGCCCGTCGGGTTGTGGCTGTTCCTGCTGCCGCTTCTCTGCCACTGCTCCCTCAGTCTCCTGCTGCTGTTGCTGGGGTTGATCAGACTCAGCTATTGGCTGCTGCCGCTGCTCTTCCCTTGACTTATTTTGCTCCCTCTCCCCCGGTTCCGCACCCGCTTTGGCTTTAAAGCACGCTGACCCCATCGCACCAACGCGCGACTAGCGGAGAACGCCCTTTGTGTGGATCAGCTGGCACATTCTCGAGCAAAGAGCTGGTTACCCTTCGCTTTCGCAATAGCTCCGACGAACAGCGAGCTGGATATCTACGGTTTCGCACGTTTCCTGACAAGCAGCGGGCTGATCCCTAAAGTTTCGTACAGACTTCAACGAAACTGCTGCTTTCGCCACACCCTGGGCCGGAGTCGACTGAAAACAAGAGAGGCTTCGGAGTTACCACGACCATAAAGCTGCTTCTTTGAGACAGCCTTGCGGAACTGGAATGGCTGTTGAATTACCGTTTTGCGGCTCAAAGGAGTTACAACTGGGAACGCAAAGATAAATTACTGAGAAGAGATTGTACGGGAAAATAGGTCTTCTAGGATACATTACTACGGTAGCTCTGAACTGCGACGTTTGCCTGGTTGTGACGAAAATGGCAGTTTCTCGACTGCTTCGCTAAATAATTACAGCTCTAGAATGCAGTCGATAAGCCGCAGTTTTGACCAGCAAGCCTCGTAAAAACACAGCCTACGAAGCATTCCGCTGGTCACAAGGGTTGATCATGATGAGCAGAAGAAGTGTAAGCACATCACACGAGAACGAGGGATGCGATTAGGGCGGGTCCAGCGCGTACGTTTTCAGGTACTATACAGTTCATTCGTCGTGGTTTGAAAAGATATCAGGCGGTGCACAGCGGTTTTAAAATTGCACCGTTTTGAACCGTGACGCAGTACAGATTACCGTACTGGATGAACTGTAATGTACGGAAAACGTACGCGCTGGACCCGCCCTTACACGATGTTGCTCTCAGGAGGAAGGACGCAGTTCATAGGATCACCGAGGTTCGATCGATGGCCTGGAAGAGGGTTTAACGCGGCTCATAAAGGTAATGACATGGTGCAGTACGGTGAATAGTCAAGATCATAGGCACTAAGAGACCCCGATACTCCCGTCAATCTGTAGTGTGTCCTGGTGATTGAACGCGGTGGTGGTGACCCAGCCAAAGCTGCAGTGCTGCTCCCTTTTCGCTCGTCCTCCTCCCCACTCAGATTGTGGTAACCAGACCTGGTTGTGCTGGAACGACAATTTCAAGGTCCTGCTTTCGCGAACTTGTTTGATTGGGGTGTCTTGAGGTGGAACTGTTCCTTCCATACAAGAGCACTTGAACTTCCATCAAATGTGGAATATTTTGATGAATATTACTGTTATATCAAGGGTTAAAACCTTGAAGAACATCGAAAATGAGGCAGCACCCGCCTCCTATTGTACCGTAATTGGGTAAATGATGATATAATATTATGAACACATACTATGAAACAGCCCTGTTTTTATAAAACAAATATCAAGACTGGTCACCTGAGTTTTATGCATACACGTTGCATCATTATACGTCTGAAGTATACGTGCTATACCTGGAAAAGCTGGCAATAACGAAACACCTGCTGTATCACGCGTGGCAGGAACGAACCGATGTGGGCAGCTTGAGAGAGGGGGCTTCTGGCAAGGAGCGCAGCCACGGAGGACAGACCTTCGCTATCACTGCTCGAAGTCCACGTGGCGAATCTGCCCCAACGATTCGTGATCTCATCTGCTCTGGATCACGGTTTCTCCAGGTCGCTGCCACGGTAGCGCGAAGCGTGTACCACTCATCTCTCGTGTTTCGCTACCAGAACATGCGCTTCCAATCAAACTCTGCTGAGGAACTCAAGGGAAACAGCGTGGAGAGGGAGAAGGGAGTGCCCGTGCCAAGCTCCGCAAATCGTCTTCGGAATTCCGATTCTCGAACCGTCGATACACGATCAATAAGAGTTCATTTCGGTCTGCCCCAACCTTGAAGTTTGCATGACCCTGCCCCCTGGCCCAAAACCGCGGCGTGCGGGACAGGTCACAGGATTGGCCAAGAACAGTGTCATCCCGTCAATTCTGTTCTGTTCCGTCTCGTCTTGACCCTCCCGTTCTTCTCTGTCAATCGAAGCATCTTCGCTTCGTATGCCTGGCGTGTGTGGCTCTCTGCCTCCTAGAAAGAATCTTTCGAGGGCTGGCTGAGCTGAGGAATCTCCATTTTACCCAACGAATCCTCCTTATGCAATGAACTAAGCATCTTCTCACGGCACCCAGTTTTCCCTACGCTGCTGGGAATCTCGAGACCATCGTTAACTGCTCAGGGCCTGGTCAGCTTTGGCTTCACTAACGTCGTCCGCTACCAGCGTTGCCATGGCGATCCCCTTGACGCGTTCCGTGTCTCTCGCGAGGGACGCTTCGCCAGCTTTTTCTCATGGTGGTTTTTTCAAGGGAAGCTCTAAGCTCCTGAAAGGACCGCAGCAAGTGCTGCTGCGGACAAATTCCTTTTCACGCAAATCCACCTCGTTAGTGTCACACTCGACATCGGTCGCTGCACGTTCAAGCGCCGAGAGACCAGACCGCGCGTCCTTCATCCCTGCAGAGCCGTTGTCCTGCGTTCTCGTGGTTTCATTTGTACCCGATAATGGCTGGCTCGATACTCGCAAAGGGAGCCGAACTGTTCGTGCGAATGCTCGAGCCACTGGCGGAGACGTCGCCGAAAACGAAAATGACGGCGCCGGTAACGTTGCCGTTTCAGATTCGAAGAGCTTGAACGGTGCGCTAGCTTTAGTCGCGGAACCCGAAGCCTTGTCACGGTCCGATGTTTCCACGTCAGATGGGGAGGCGGCTCGCGATAGCCTCGTCAGCGCTGACGTGGCAGCCGAAGTCAACGAACGGCTGCAGCGGCTCGAGGTCCTCATGCTTCTCCGGCGGCTGTACCGCGACGCGAACCGGTCCGAACGCGTGCTAAACATGCCCATACCCGTTATAGCGAAGAAGCGGGAAGGGACGCAGGAGCTTAAAGCGCGGCGTAAGGTGCGGCGCGGAGCGAACTACTGGATCCGCCGCGGCCTGGGCGTGGCGGAGCGGAAGGGCGAGGGGGAGGATAAGCCTATCTTAGTGGTGGAAAGCGCGCTCGAGGTGCTAGGCTGCGCCGCGGACGTCCGCGCGCTCGCCGGCTCGCTGACCCGTGACCTAAACTTCTTTCACGGGCAGCTGCCCGCCGTTTTCCCGGTAGGTCAGCAAGGGAGTCTGCCTGCTGTTGGCTTCGCTCAACTCTTTGTTTGTTTGTTGTTTGTCAACCCACGCTGAGTACGCTCTCCTTACGTGAGCTCTCGTGTTTCCGTCTCGTCCCTTCCCGTTCTCGTCATTCACACCGTTGTAGTTCCAGACAGTATCCAAACCTTATGAATGAGTTGTGGTCGTTGCGACGACGCTGTCGCAACGTCTTGTGACCCCCGTTGTTATCACAGGCGGCTTGAGGCGTTTCCGACGTGGTCATGTCACTCACAACGGCTGGGCTGTTCTTTCCCCTCCCCATTGCCACGTGCTGTCATCCCCGTTATGGGCACAGGAAGAAACCAAGGCCGCGGAGGGCGTGGCAGACGTGGTGCGCACGCTCGCGCAACGGTTAGAGGAGCTGGCGGATCGAATCGAGGCGTCGCTGTCGGCGGAGCAGCGGCGCGAGGTGGAGGAGGAGCTGGAGGCGCAGGCGCTGCAGGAGCAGATGGACAAGGAGGCGAACGTGCAGGTGAGGGGTGGTGAACGGTGAAGGGTGGTGAGAGGGGATGCTTGCCTGTGAGTGCTGGTGAGAGGGGGTGCTTGCCTGTGAGGGGTGGTGAGAGGTTGAGTGTGCAGGTGAGGGGTGGTGAGAGGTTGAGTGCGCATGTGAGGGGTGGTGAAAGGGTGAACGTGCAGGTGAGGGGTGGTGAGAGGGTGAATGTGCGGGTGAGGGCTGGTGAGCGTGCGTTTCATGCTCTCCCCCTCGTGCGTCCCCCCCCTCTCCTCTCTCTCTCTCTCCCTCTCTCTCTCTCTCCCTCTCTCTCTCTCTCCCTCTCTCTCTCTCTCCCTCTCTCTCCTCCTCTCCCTACCCCTACCAGGAGCGGGTGCTGCGGCGCCTGGGCGGGCTGTCCAACACGAGCGCCGAACTGAGACGCCTCAACACTCACTCGCTCCCCTGATTCCCCCCCACCTTCCTCTTCCCCATCTTTCTCCACCAGGAGCGGGTGCTGCGGCGCCTGGGCGGGATGTCTGTCCAACCCAACCCATGCGCCGTTCTGGAGTTACGGGACCATTCTAACCTAGATCGCTTCTCCTTCCCGCCCTGCCCTTGCCCGTTTCCACGCCCGTTCTCCTCTTCCCCGCTCTCCTCGCTCCCCGTTCGCCTCCAGGAGCGGGTCCTGCGGCGCCTGGGCGGGCTGTCCAACACGAGCGCCATTCTGGAGCGGGTCAGACAGAGAATAGCCTCTGTGGACATCTCGTTTGGGGACTTCAGCATCGACCTGCCCACCATCAAAGGGGTGAGAGAATGTTAAAGCATGTCTCAGAAGTCTTGAGACGACTGGAAACATGACACGAGCCCCATTCTGGTCTGGAGAGGGTCAGACAGAGGATAGCCTCTGTGGACATCTCGTTTGGGGACTTCAGCATCGACCTGCCCACCATCAAAGGGGTGAGAGAATGTTAAAGCATGTCTCAGAAGTCTTGAGACGACTGGAAACATGACACGAGCCCCATTCTGGTCTGGAGAGGGTCAGACAGAGGATAGCCTCTGTGGACATCTCGTTTGGGGACTTCAGCATCGACCTGCCCACCATCCAAGGGGTGAGCGAGTCTTGAGACGTGTTGAAAGGATTGAAAGGGCTTTGAAAGGCTCCAGAGGTCTCAAAACCTAACATGCGAAGTTTCCCAAAGAAAGTGCGGCAGAGGATAGTGTCTGTGACATCTCCTTTGGGTATGATGGACGAGACGAGGTCAAGCTCCCGCTCAGTAGTATGACGAATTCCACCGGCGCTTAGGGTAAAGACTCACGGTGGCACTTAGCAATACAACTTACATCGGCACTTAGTAGTAGTAGTATGACGACTTACATAGGCCTTGGAGTAATACACTATTGGTGTGCAAACTCTGCATTGTGCTGCACC